AAGATTATTTTCAGAAGCACATCACAAGCAATTAATTGAATTTGTACTTATAACTAGGCTTAAAAAATTGTTTGTAAACTTTACTTGAAATTAAATCCAATTTATTTGGGTAACAAAATTACGTCGTAAGACATCCTTCCAGAGACTAGAAATACTTAAAAAACGAAACACAGTGAAAGAATTAATCTTCCCTAGTACTGAAAAATGTAAGAAAAAAAGTGATAGTACAGTTTCTCATTTTATTTATTTCATTTATATATTACTTTTAAGGCAAAAAGTTGCCAGGTAATGTTTTAAATAATATAAATAAGCATGGCTAGAATTTTACAATTGAACTGTCGCAGTATTAAACATAAAATAGGTGATTTAATACATAACATAACAACATCAATACTCAAACCTGTCATCAGGTAGGTAAACCTCGCAGGCAGAGACTACAGACTACCATTTGGTACAACCTTGATACACCTCTAGCCTCTTACACATACATTTTCATTGGTTAAGCATACTCTTAATTTGACCCATCTTTAATATATTTCCAATTCGGGCAAACTTCTTTCAAGGGTGTCTCTTGCCAACTCTGCCACAACCTTCTGTGGCATAAATTTGCTTTCTAAATTCCTTTCTTAAGCCTAGCCACATCTTCCTGCAAGTCACACTTTTCGCATATCACACAATTTTTAAGCCTAAGATTTAGCCTAATTAATATATTCTTAATAAGTACATTTCTACAGCATCAGTAGTCACGGTGAAGCTACACAACCCTACCTGACACTTTTATGAATGTCAAACCAGTTTGAGATGGCCCTGACCTGATCCGTACACCCCATCCCTTTTCTAAATCCAGCTTGCACATCCCAAATTTTCCTATCAGTTTCTTTCATAACTCTTTCTGTCAAGACATGAGCACACAGTTTTTTCACGGTGCTAAAAAGGCTAACTCCATGGTAGTTTTCCTGTTCCAGTCCTGCTGTTGCTCTTTCCCCTTAAATAGTGGAACTTTAATGGCTTGCTCCCAGCATAAATTATAGAATTTTAGATCTTAAATATGAAGTTAAATGTAATTTCAGTAGTACTAGCAATAAGTATCACAGGACTCCATTTCTGCATAGAAGTCTGTCTGGGTAAGCATCATCCTCTTATCTATTTCTCCCACCATGCAACTGTAAGAGCCAGTATAAATGCAGGTTGTGTTGTGAGGCATTCCATCTTAATCCTAAAAAGTGGCAACATATTTGTAGCCTTCATTTTAGTTTGAATTTGGATGCTTAAAAAGACTGTCAGATTGTTGCCACCTCAGTTTTATAAGAAAAAACAAAAAGTAAAAATAGTACTTGGGTTTCTCCTGTCACATAAAAGACTCCAAGCCCCTGAGCTATTGTACTGCCATATTAACCACATTATTTTGTATTGTGTAATTCTTTACAATATAAAATAAAAACAACACCATCGATGATTGTGTTTTTAACTTTATAATTTGTTTTACCTAAAGCAGAAAGATTAATATATTTTGTTCCAACTTACCTTTAACAGATGAAGCTTTATATACTGTAATGAGTATGCTTATTTACCGATAACTGAAATGCTGAATTTTTTGTCTATGTAAACAGGTATGTAATGCAATGCACTATTCATTAACTTCAGTTCCAACAAAAACTGTGATCTTCCGTAGAAGTGAAAGTTGCACTTTTATCTTCAAAATAAATATAAATCCAAAAAGCTTGAAATTTTTATTTTTAAGTACAGTACAACGTTTGGATGAAGCTAAGAGCCTGGCGCAAAGATTATAAGTAGTAAGTACGGATCTGGCGTTCAATTTTAATTTTATGTAGTATGTAGGTACCTACACTTTTACGTCACTTACCATTTCCTGTGTTCTGTGATTTCCTGGTCATAGATAAGCGATAAATCCTGTCCCATAGACTTAAAATATACTGGCGTATAGACGTTCTGACAGCAGGGTTGCCTACTATATTTTTAAACTGGAAAAGATCGTATTTTGCTAAGAACTCAAAAAAAAAGATAGTACACATCAATATTTCAATAAAACAGCGGTAAAAAATACATAAATAATATTATTATAACGTCAAAGCAAAATTTTACATTTTTTTTTATTTGGTTTGCGCTGGAGTTTACACACCCCAGCGGGAATATATTGTCAATTTTCCACAGAAATTTTATATTGGTCGCACAATTTTCATAAATATATTACATACTGAGAGTGGAGAAACAATTTACGCTATTTGATACGTAATTGTCTTCCACTCTCTATTACTTTCTATAAACTTTAGTGGTACGTAAAGCATATACAAAAAAAAACTAATAGCAGTTTCAACTGCGTATACTACAATTAACATAGTAATAATATAGAAATTTTACATAGGTTATTGTTAATTATGTAAAATTTCTACATATTCTATAGATACATAAAAGATAACAAAAGAGCACATACATATTTTTAGTCTACAATAGCTTGCTACATATTTATTTATCTATGGTCTACAATTATAAAACAAACAATAATAACGAAAACAAAGACATTGTAAAATAATACATCTTCTTAGTCTATCTTTAATATATAAAAATTACGTGTTACATTGTTTGTCCGCGATGAACTCCTAAACTACACAACTGATTTCAATTAAATTAACACACTGTGTGCAGTTTGGTCCAACTTGAGAGATTGGATACTTTTTATCCCGATTAGTGACCTTCAATATTTTTTATTGCGAATTTAAGGATTTTTTATGGGAAGGGTCGTCGGAAAGGGCAAAACAACGTCTGCCTGGCCAGGTAGTATAACTATAAAAACTAGCAGATAAATAACAAAAATAAAGACAGTAATGAAAGAGAACAGAAAGACATTCTAAAGTTTAGAATGTCTTTAGAATCTAAACCTTATATATTCTTTAATTTATAATAATTTTTATACCTACTTACTAATTTAATCATTGTTACCGCTATTTACAATCTTATTAGAGTTCTTTAGGTTCTTAAGTACATTTTCATTAAGTTTTATGAAGGAATCCAGAGCCGATTCCTTCCTCATCAGTTCTGTCAGTTTGTATGGCGACACTCTTAAGTTATTGCACAGTAATTCATGTTGTGTTCTGTATCGACAGAAGGCGGGGCAGTTCTCCGATAGATGTTTCAACGTCTGAAATGTGCGGATGTCGCACGGACAGTTATCGTTTTTAATTATTTTAAAACGGTGCAGATATGTTTTATGATAACCGTGTCCGATGAGAAATTGTGTAAGGCATACTACTGCCAAATGAAATATCACTTAAATATATTTGTCTTCACATAAGTATTTTCGTAATAGATCTTTTGATACACCAATATCCATTCTATTTAGGCTTACTTATCTGCCTTTAATTCTGTGAAATATGTCAGCAGAGTAACATACCGGGATGCTATGTAGTATCTATACTAGTATCCCGGTATGTTTACTATTTCATTTTACATCTTCTACAACCCTTTGAATACTTGTTAAAAACCATAACGGACATTTTTTCTTTTTCTTATAATTTCTAGGCATGATGTGTAACTTAAAAAATCTTTCCAATTACCAATCACCAAGAATACACAATTAGTTACATTATTTTCATTTAACCCGATATTTCTATTTACCCCAATTTTTTTTTAAATTAAAAATGTCATATCTTAATTTTGGTAAAGTAACTTAGCGCCCTTTGGTACATTTACTTTTACTAACGGCATCCGCGACCTTGAAGTCAGAGCTGCTGTGAGGCTCGGGCACCACGAGACGCTTAAGGACGCCTTGACCCATGCACTGGAGGTGGAAGCCGTGCGGCAGGATCATCGTTCCCATCGCGTCATGGAGGTTGCAGCAGCTACAGTTCAGGACCGCAATAACGGCTACCGCCCTAGGTGCTACGGCTGTGGGGAAAGGGGCCTTCTTCGATCCAGCTGCCCTAAGCGAACTGTAGAAAGGGAAGGTGATCGATCTCGAGAGGGTAGTGCGGCTAATAGCACCGCCCAGCAGCAGCAGGGAAACGAGTAAAAGCCAGGACTACGGGGCGGGTGCTGGCTCATGTTAAAAGAGCCCCAAGGATTTCGATCATACAAACCCATGATGGGAACAGCCTAATCATCAAGGGCGAGGTCAACGGAACGTCGTGTAAACTGACCATAGACACTGGAGTTTCTCGCACGGTTGTCAGTCCCCAACTTATAAGTCAGTTTCTTGGGGACTCCGCATACACCCGAGAACGCATTAATTTCGTTATAGCCACCGGACAGCGCATACCCGTCCGTGGAGAAAAGGAGATGGAGTTGAAGCTAGGCAACATGATCTACCTGCATAATGTCATCGTGGCTGATATAATGGACGACTGCATCCTGGGCCTAGACTTTATGAGGAAGAATTGTTGTGAGATCGACGTTAAGCAAGGTGTTTTGAAATGTGGACAAGAGGAACTTTTCGTGGAAGGGGAGTTACCAGGGAATGTGTACAGCCTTAAGAAGATTGTTCTTCCGCCGAGATCGGAAACGATTGTGGCGGTTAGACTTCCTCGGAATCCTGGGCAAACTCTTCGTTGTGTTCTCGTGGAAAGGGTAGACAATGACCTTCCATGGAAAGATGCTCGAACCTTGGTCAGAACCGCCGACATCTCAGGAGTACGTGTGCTGAACCCTTGTGATCAGGAACAGATTATAGAAAAAGGCACATTGGTTGGTACTAGTGAGGAAGTACATTGGTTGCGTCGGTGCCAATATCTATCGACTGGGACTCCAGCAAGGATGGACAAACGAGAGTGACCATACTTTTAGAAGACTGTCGCAGCGTTCTCTCCCCGAATGAAATGGTCAAGGCGACGAAGTTGTTACTCAAGTACGCCAATGTTTTCTCGTCAAACGAAGCTGACATAGGAAAGACTGGCTTAGTTCAACACAAAATAAACACAGGAGAAGAATTGCCTATTCGTCAGCGGCCAAGAAGATTGCATGTAGCACGTGAAAAGGAAGTGGAAACCATGATGTTTAACAATAAAATATTATTGTCTCAACGGAATGGTGATCAAGAGATTGTGATAGCGTACTTCAGCAAGTCGTTGTCAAAGCCGGAAAGGAACTATTGTGTCACAAGACAGGAATTGCTTGCTGTGGTAAAGTCCTTGCAGCATTTTAGCAAATATCTTCTGGGGCGGAAATTCCACTTACGAACTGACCATGCTGCACTGGAATGGCTATTGCAGTTCAAAAATCCGGAAGGACAAGTTGCGAGATGGATTGAACTACTGCAAGAATACGACTTTGTGATCGAACATCGCAGCGGGAAATCTCATGACAATGCAGATGCATTGTCAAGAAGACCTTGCCCTGAAGATTGCTAGCATTGTACTAGGCAAGAGGGCAAGGAAGTGGTATCTGTGAGGATGATCAGGACAGACCAGCTCAGCAATGAGTAGAAGGACAGCCTACAACATGCACAGCAGGAATATTCGGACATTAAGCCGATTCTGGAATGGATAAAGGCCAGTGCTCCTAAGCCCAAGTGGAGCGACGTCTCAGCAATGAGTTCGACCACGAAAAGCTATTGGGCCCAATGGGACAGCTTGCTGATTCAGAATGGAGTCCTGTGCCGTAAACGGGAAAATGGTCGGGGAGACAGATGTCATTTGCAAATGGTTGTCCCTAAGGCTAAAGTACCAGATGTTCTACAGCTGTACCATAGTGGTAGTTCAGAAAGCCACCTGGGAGTTAAACGAACTCTACTGAAGATCCGAGAACGGTTTTACTGGGTCCACTGTCGTGACGATGTCGAGGACTGGTGCCGCAAATGTACAAGTTGTGCGGCTGTTAGGGGACCTCAAATTCGTAGTAGAGGCCCATTGAAATTGTACAATGTTGGTGCACCATGGGAGAGGATAGCCATTGACGTTGCAGGGCCGTTTCCGGAAAGTGAAAGTGGTAACAAGTATTTCATGGTTGTGATGGATTACTTCAGTAAGTGGCCAGAAGTCTTCACCATTCCAAATCAAGAAGCTTCAACAGTTGCAGATAAACTAGTTCATGAAGTCTTCTGCCGTTTTGGAGTACCTTTAGAGATTCACAGCGATCAAGGAAGGAATTTTGAGTCTCAAATATTCCAGGAAACTTGCCGAGTTATGGGTAATCATAAAACAAGAACAACTTCTTACCACCCACAATCTGATGGAATGGTTGAACGATTTAATCAGACATTGCAGAGGTACCTAGCAAAAGTTGTGGAAAAACGGCAACGTGACTGGGACAGGCACATACAACCGTTTTTGTTGTTATATCGAAGCGCTGTTCACGAAAGTACATCAGTGACACCAGCTTTTGCAAACTTTGGGAGAGAATTACGGCTGCCTGCAGACCTGCAGTATCACCGGAATACCACCTGACGCCCCACGCAGTATAACCGATTATGCAAATGACTTGCGGAACAAAATGAACGACATTTATGGGCACGTCAGACAGACGGGCCAGCAAACGTCTGAGAAGATGAAAACACGGTATGACCGCAAAATGAACAACAAGGGGTTTAACGAAGGTTCACTAGTGTGGTTACACAATCTAGTTCGCACCAAAGGGAAATCTCCTAAGCTTCAAGATAAGTGGGATGGACCGTACCGGACTGTGACAAGGATCAATGACGTAATCTACCGGATACAGAAAGGTGCCAAAGGTACTCCTAAGATCGTCCATGTGGATCGACTGGCGCGTTATTATGGGGCCAATAATGCTCGGGACGATCATGTCTTAGGAGGGGGCAGTGTTGCGCGCCACTATTAATGTCTTGTATATGGCAACACTAGTTCCCACTAGCGCCCTCTAGTGTCGAGTAGCAGAACTAGGAGAGTCAAGATCCTTCTAGAAATTTCGGGACCGTATGTACTCGAACATTCTAGATGTCGCTACAGTAGAAGGTTCTGGAAACTATCTGAGGCCCTATAAAAGGCCGGTATAGACCACGACCGAGTCAGTATTGAATTGGCGATACAAGAGAATACTTCGAAGCGAAACAACTGCGAACTCAAGTGATCAGTAGTACAATTGTGTTTTATTATTAGTGTGGTTTTAGATTGTAATTAGTGCTGTGTAATTAAAGTGTCAATTTTGGTAATACAATCGGTAGTTTTTAATTGTCTCGAACCCCAAGCTCGTAACAATACATTTACGAAAAAACTACTTTTAAGGTTTTGTTGTCATGTCTGACTCCTTTTAAGTCTGTATTTTGTAGTACCTAAACAATGTTAGAATAAATCGTCAAAGAAAATGCCTTATTTATTTTACACTAGATATCAGTATCATACATTGTGTTGAAATCATTAAATATAATTAAATGAGCAAATGACATTCAAAAAAAAAATCACAAATATTAAAATTTATAATAAGTAAGTTTGACCGCCGGGCCGCCGGTCGACGCCCGCGCTCAGCTGATTGCGTTGCGAGTGCCTACTAAACCATTCATCACTGTGCCTATTGGACCAGAGCGCCACTTTAAATGAGTTTACATTAACTTTTCATATCCTACTTCTTTATTTTGCAAAAAACCATTTGATTAACTATTTGATTATTTTATTAATTTCTTTAAGAATTAATAGACATTCTTTAATAGACATTCAGGTAGTTTTTTACGAATACTGTTTGCTAGCAACGCTGCCTGCATCCAAGAGGCAACGTCGCATCCAGCTGGTAGCAACGTTTCAACGACGCACATGCGGCGGCCCAAGGCCAAGCCAACGGTATATTATGACGTCGACACAGGTGTCATCGTCATCAAAGGCGCCGCCTGCCATTTTCGGTTTGCAGCCATCGATTTGGTGATCGATGTTTGCAGCATGTGCAAATTAAATGAGTATTATTAACTATTTTTCTTATTTAATGTAAGTTGTATTTAAAAAATGGATGCAGGTTAAAATAATTACAAGTATTACAATAAAATATTTATAATGATTAAATACAAATTAACAGTAATTGAATAAAGATATTAAGGTATAATGGTTCAACAAAAATATTAAAATACAAATTTAAAAATTAGACTTACCTAGGTACTTGTCCGCGGATTGCGGTGAGTATCGCGCACCTAGCGTTCAAAATAATCATCTCCACATTCTATGCATAGGTGACACCTAAAACTTCACTGTTCACCGACACGAGATAATACTTGATGATTCATTTTGATTTGATCGAATGCCCAAATTATTTTTTCTTTTTAACATTTCCCGGGTTTCGAATGCGGGACCAGTATACACTAATGTCTTTACATGCCCACACAAATAAAAATTCATTAGTGTAATATCTGGCGATCTGGGAGGCCATGCACAAGGCCCGTCACGACCGACCCAGCGACCAGGGTATTATCTGTTTAAATAATCCTTAACTTGGCGAGCATAGTGCGCCGGTGCCCCGTCATGTTGGTAATACATATTACGTAGAGATGCAAGTGGTATGTCCTCTAACAACTCTGGCAGCGTGTCGGTGAGAAAATTATGATAGCTTTCACCGTTTAATTTTTCTATGAAGACCGGGCCCAGTAACGTTGTATTAATTACGCCTGCCTACACATTGACACTAAACCGGTGTTGAAAGCTATGCGGTCTTGGTTCATGTGGATTTTCATAGCACCACAAGTACAGATGTGCCAACTCGGAAAAATCACGACTCGAGTTGAAATTCACGCAACTCGAGTTAGGGAGATCCAACTCGAGTTAAGCGCAACTCGAGTCAACTCGAGTTAGTAACTCGAGTTGACCCATCACTAACCACAAGTGTTCATTGTGCGAATTAAATAGTCCTATTCTGCCAAATATTGCTTCATCAGTCCATAAAATGTTAGTTCGTTCAGCAGCTAGTAACCAGTTACAAAATGTAACTCACGCTGGTTTGTCAGCTTCGCCGAGTTCATGAACACGATGCAAGTGGAAATGGTACTTCCCTTCATTGTGTAAGACACTCCATGCGTAGTACTGTGACACATTGAACTGTCGGGCTGCCTCATAATTGCTCGCTGCTGGATTTTGTTCAAAAAACTGCAGTATGTCTTGCTGCTCACGTACTGTGCGCCGCGGTGGACAACCACGATCGATTGATACAGGCTGGAATTGCCCGTAATCTCGCAATCGCTGTGTAGTACCTAGCATCTTAGCGTAGCTCGGTGCACGTGAGTTGGGAAATCGCCTTGAATATTCACGGCAGGCTTCACTAACGTTATCATTGCAAATTGCTAAAATTCGCACCGTTTCGGTATACTCAACATTTGATTATCGGTAAGCCATCGTAACAACGCGTAACGTTCGCGATATTAATCTCATAACGGAAGGAGAAACGTCGCGGGCGCACCAAAGGAGACTGAGACTGACGACACAGGTAATTAGGTCAAGTTCAAATGAGCAAGCGCCGCCTCATACACCCCTCCACCCCTACTCCACCACGCGCTTTATTTTGCTATTTAGGACTATTGCCGTTTAGACTGTCCAATTAAAATATTTTTATTTTTGTATGAAAATAAAAATTGAAGAAATATAATTTTTTTTCTTACAGATGTTGTTGATATGATGTAAATAATATATTCCCAAAAGGTCTTCAGTAAATTAAAAACTAGTTACCCTGTATACGATAAACTAATCTTATATAATTTTTTCGGATTTTATTTTGGGAATTGATGATCAATGATCCTGCTTTCAGACGGGACTCCTAATAAAAAGAGGTGAAATATTTGTTACCCAATAGAAACATTAATTAGAAGTCAATCACATTATTATTGGGAGGTCTCTAGAAAACTTAAAAAAATATAGGTGGTAGATCTACTAACCTTTCGAAGTAGAATTGGTAGGAAACTCAACTTCTGAAATCATATTTACCTCCGAGACAAATTTCGGATTGGTAACATTGGCCGTAGAGTATAATAATAATATCCACTAGTAACTCCTTCCGCCGCCCGTAAGCCGCATCCGCAAGCTCGCACGTACTACTGACTGATTGCCAAACGTGTGGATATATCGCAAACACGTTTGTCGAACACCCTTTGATTGGTGCACAAAAACCGACATGAACGCCGATCACTGACAATCACAAACAAACAAACAAACAGGCAAACAACCATCCACACGTTCGTGATTGCTGTTTGGTTTGCTGTTCGCCGTTGTTTGCCAAGCGTGTGGATGAGGAATATTTTTTTTTTATAGGAGAGGGGGCAAACGAGCATGCGGCTCACCTGATGGTAAGTGACTACCGCCGCCCATGAACAACCGCAACACCAGGGGAATTGCAGATGCGTTGCCGGCCTTTTAAAAAGGAGTAGGCTCTTTTCTTGAAGGTCCCTAAGTCGTATCGGTCCGGAAAAATCGCTGGTGGTAAACTATTC